ACACACACACACACACACACACACACACACACACACACACACACACACACACGAGAAAGACTGTCTATCTGGCCAGCATCAAGCTTCGCAGAATCTTTAGGCTTCTGAAATGGCTGTTGCTGTAGAAATAACTTTTCTTTTACCCAAAAGAAATCTTAGTGGTAAAATACAAGAATATTAGAGCACCTAGTGACAATGATCATGACCAAAGAGTTTATGACCAACAGACTGTAATAAATTGGCTAACCACAGGAAAGGAAAAGAATACTTGTTTCCTAGGTGGTAACATCTATAAAAGGCTAAATGTTTTCAGAATAGGAAGGCAGGTTAAAGTTCTAGGAAGCAGAAGAGATGTAGAAAACCAGAGACAAGAGAATAAAAATAATGGTGCTTGGGTATGGTGACTTAGCATATGCTCTGACAATGGAAAAGAAAAGAATCAAGAACAAAAAGAGAAGACAGAAAAGTTCTACACCCTGCAGAGGATGGAGTCAAAAAAACTCAAAACACCTGTACCTCAGAAGTTGCTAAGGGCATCAGTGTAACATGTAGGCAACATACCAACTAGTAAGACTCATCAGTATTTACTATATATAGCAGTGTCGTAGCACAGTGATATCACCCTTTACAGCTACATTTACAATACAGCATAATTATTTTTAAAAGACAAAGAAATATATAGTATATTTTATGAAGACTGCCAGAAAAAAGGTAAAAGTAAGACAGTTCCCGCACCTCAAACCTAAATCTCTAGCTACAAGAATGACTAGAATTTTCACTATAAAACAAGTGAACATATTCCTTAGCAGAAAACATTAATAATCAAAAGAAAATTCAGGTAGTTCTAAAAGCCTTAATTAAATGGAGAGGAAATAAATAAAGAAACTAAATCCCTTTTATTTAATAAGGCTGTCAAGATGGGATAGCTTTTTGTATTGAAATCCTTTCTTTTTCTGAATTATCTTATACGATGACTTTGGAAGACAATTGAGCCTTTATAATTAAAGAGCTACAGGGGAAATGTCACAAAGTCTATTGTCCTATCTCTAAACTCCAACAAGATAAAATGGCAATTTTCTAGGGATGCTTAAATGTTACACTAATTCTATCATTATGCCTTGCACGAAAACAGGCTTGACTGTTTCCATTTATCCAAAGTCTGACATGGGCTCTAGGCAAAACAATCCCTTAATCACTTTTGAATGTCTTTGAACTGCACAATTCTGTTAAAATTCAATGACAGAATAGGTGTCAAAGAGACTTGACTTAAAGAATAATTTCACAAATCAAAATTATAGTTTTTAATGATCGTTTTGCTCCACAAAGAGTAGTTCTTAAAATTATGTTACCAGACAGTGAACAAATATTTTATCCCCATTTTACAGACACAGAGATGGTACCATACAGGGACTTAAGTATGGGCTAAGGAGACAATAACCAGGTGCTCTATGCTAATATCATATGACTTTTGAAAGTAGAGCAGCTAAAAATAAGTCACTTCTCATGATCTAGTGCTTTGTATATTAGATCACATTGACTTATTATTTTAATAGTCTAAGGTCACTTTACTTCTTTCACCTGAAAATGCTGACACCAAAGTACTATAATTTGAAAAATGATTTAAAAGTAAAAGCAGCAGTTCATGAAAAAAAAAAACAGGTAAAAAGACAAGGATTAAGTTGAAGATTTCATTTGACAGGATGTGCTATTAAGAAATAGTATAATCCCTTTTAAGTTCATAATGCATTAAGCAGGCCCTATAAAATAAGAGATTTGTATGATCATCAATTTAGAGCAGGATGCAACCTTAGGCATTTCTAGCCTCATTTCCTCATGATACAGGATGGGGCCCTTGAGGCCCAAGGATTGGGAGGAGGTGGAGGTGGTCACCTGACTTCTGATGGTCACATAGGAGTTAAGTAGCAAAGTTGGGAACTGAATCCAGTTTCTCTGAATACCCAAATCCATACTCTTTCCAACATGCCACACTGTCTCTACTATTGTTAGTCTCTTCTAATTGTAATTTTGATGAAAATTCATAGTGGCAAGAAGCCAATTTTTAAAAATATTATTTCCAAAAAAGTTCCTTCCGAGCCCTTGAAAGCCATGCCGACAAAACATGAGCAGGTCCTACTTGGCTGGAAATGCACCAAGTGCAAGCCTCACAATCCACCTATGTCACTTAGGAAAAACAGTCTAGGTAAGTCAGAAAAAGTCACCAGGTGACCCATTTTTTAGCTGCAGTAACTCATGGAACCATCAATTAAGACATGAAGTCATTGTGTTCTGCCTAAGTGGCCTGAGTTCTCATACTAATGAAATTATGGAACTTTAAAAATATTTAAGGATTTAACCTAACTAGCAATTTGCAAGCTGGTACACTAAAAATTTAAGTTACATAACCTCACCTGGGCCTTCACTGAAGTAAGGCAATCCTTTCATACCTTCCCAATCAATTCACTGTGCCACTCACCACAGTGGCTTTTCCAAGCCTTTCATGCCTCCTGGGGTTCCTCTTCTCCTCACTCTAACAGCTGAGGACCTTGACTTATACTTTACTGAAAAAATTGAGGCCATTTGCCAACAGCTCCCTTTTCTTCTCTCCTCCTCATCTCACATCACTCAAATGCCTTCTGCCACTCTCTCCTCCTTCACTTATCTGACATGAAGATATGGCCTTTCTCATCGCCAAGGTAAGCTCCTCTGTTTGAATCTCGATCCCATTCTATCCTATTATCTCTAGGTGACTGCCTCCTCTATCATCCCCACTCTCTCAGTCTTTCACTATCTACTTTTGTCCCTACTGCCTATAAACACACTCATGTGTCCTCCATCCTTGAAAGAATCCTCACTTGATTTGACTGTCCCAGATAGCTATTAACTTATATTTCTCCTGACTTTCCTGGCTACACGCCTTGAGAGAGAAAGAAGTCTACAAGTGGAGTTCCCACTTCCTCTCCCCTTACTTTCTTTTAAAGTCTCTACAATCTGGTTTCCAAACAAATCAATTAAACTGAATCTTCTCTCTCCAAGGCAATCAATGGTTTCTTAATCACCAAATCTAATGGCCTTGCCTCAATCCTCATTTTTTACCTTTCTTCAGTCTTTGCCATTGTCAATCACCCTCTTCTTGATATTCTCCCTACTCTACTAGGTTTTTCATGACACATACTCTCCTGGTTCTTCTCCTAGCTGAATAGTCCTTCTGTCTCCTTTGTTGGATATTGGTTCTTCATCTAGGTCATGCCCCTGATGGTTGTCCCCTACAGGTCTGTCCTTGGACATACTCTCCTCTTCATCTATGCTATTTTACCTGATGATCTTATACAGATGATTCTCAGATCTATTTACTCAGCCCTAATCACTCTCCTGACTTTCAATCTTATACCTTTCAACTGCCTATAGGATACCTTAAAATGGATGTTCCAGAGAAGTCATAAACTCAACAAGTCTAAAATTGAATTCATTATCTTTCTCCCCAAGCCCTCTTCTCTTTCTAAGTTCCTATGACTGTCAAGGGTACCACCATCCTCTCAGTCATCCAAACTAGCAATCTCAGTGTCCTCCAAGAGTCTTCATTCACTCTCATCCCACATATTTAATCTGTTGTTAAGTGTGGCTGCGTCTACCTTCAGAGCTCCTTGCAGATGTGCTTAACGACATCTCTTATATACATCCCCTTCTGCCCTTTGACACAGCCACCATCCTGGGACAGGTCTTCACTACCTCATACTCAGAGTATCACATCATCCTGCTGGTTGGTTTCCCTGCCTCAAGGCTCTCTCCCACTCCAGTCTGCCTTCCTCCTTGCTGCCTGATTGATCTTTCTGCAAGCATAGGATTCTTACCATGTCATCCCTCTACTCAATAAACTCTAGCACCCTGGCCTTCTTGCTGGTCTTTGAACACAATGCTCCAGTCTCCTTACTTCCATGTCCATCCTCCTCCATAAATATTTCTATTAATAAATACTGATAACAAGATCAAAGGCCCATTCATTTAATAGTATACTATAGTTAAAATTTTGAAAGAGAAAAAAGTATTGCTTTTTGTATAACTAAACTATATGTATTTTATGGAGCAATAACAACTAAATTCCCATGTTAAGGGTCACATCAAGTTTAAATTAAAAGAACATAGTGGTTATTATGTGAAAAAAAAAGCCTTCATAAAAATCTTGGCAGATATCATGGGAAGGGAAATACAACATTTTCTTTTTTAATTAACAAAGACTGGACAGGGTATTTTTAGGGCAGGAAGATATCACATAGCATATACTAGATATATTATTTTGTGTATGGACACTATCAGCTTATTTTTAGTTTTAGTTTTAAAGATGAGCTAACGGTACCTTGCAACCCAACAATTCTGCTCTGTTGGCATGGCTTTCAAGAAATCAGTAGGAACTATATTAGATAGAATGTTTTATTCTATACCACGAATGTTGTGGTGTTGTTGTTTAATGCACTGCCACTCTAGCTATATGTAAATTTTAACATTTATAAATTAATAGATTAGTAGGAAGGGGAGGAAATTTCTTCAAACCATGATTCAAACTGAGTTATGATTTTGGGATTTCAAAGCTATTGTCCTTGCACTGAGTTACTGCAAATCACTGGAAAATAAGCTTCTCTGACTTGTACTATTACTTCTGCTGCTGCTGCTTACAAGAAGTAGAAAACTTTTAGGGTATCATCAGATCCATTTCCTAACCTGTTAAAAGGTATCTGCAGAGCATGCTATATGGAATTTACAATTAAATTAAAATATGCTCAAGATATATATTTTGTAAGGGGAGGGGCAGGAAAGATGGGAGAGAGAGAAAATAGAAAATAAATGCTTGTTAGTTGAAAAAAATTCACTGACAAAGAACTAGATTTCCATAATATATGGAACTTGACCACTTTGAAAACAAGTATGTCACAAAGATTTCTTCCCACATTCCTCAAATTCAATCATAAGAGCTGAAATGTATAAAGTACTTTAAGGTTTATAATGGGCTTTTCTAACAACCTTGTGAGGTAAAGTTGTCTAATTACTATTATCCTCATTTTACAGATGAAACTGAGGCTTAGGGAAGTTAAGGGTCTTGTTTGTGATCATCTACTTAGAAAATGTCAGAGGTGGGATATGAAGCCAAGTTTCTCATTTTCAAGTCTACCGCTCTTCCCACTAAAACAACCTAACAATATTGAGTTTCTTTAACACAGTCTTAGTTAGTTCTTATTGATTGATAAAGCTAAAAAAGTTATTTTTTTTAAGGTAATAGCTGGTCAATGGAAAGTCTAGAACAGGGATGTTTCTTTTTAAATTGACCATCACTAATGTTTTCAGTGGGTCAATTTAAAAATAACAACAACAAAAAAACCCTATCTCTTGTCTAGGACAAGAATTTAGATTTTATGACTTGGGTTTAGAGACAGTTTCAAATGTGAAATTAAATGAGTGATTTAGGCAAATATAAGTAACTTGTTAAGATAAAGAGAGGAGATGGTTCCAAAGTTAAGTTCTGTATTTCTCAACCAGCATAAAAAGATAAAGAAGGAAAGAGGCAGAAATTTTAGTTGATCATCATTAGGTACTCACGTGATTGGGTGCTTTCCTTTTTATGTAAAGAAAGTAATTCCCTAACACAGAAGACAAAGTATGTTAATAAGATAATCAACACAGAACTGTTAGGATGGAAAACAAATTAGCAACTAAAATCACTAGATGTACTAATACAAATATAAGACTGTTCTGAACATATTTGCTTCTTTGTTCTTGATGCATCAAAAAGCAAATCCTGCTGATCACTTACTCACTTATAACAAAATGGAAAAAACGTATACTTACTATTCCAACACCAAAATGATTTCATTTGAAGTTTCATAGACTTCATGGAGATTAATCACACGGGAACTGGACTCTGTTAATTCTAGCACGGCAATTTCATGTAGGATCTCTGCTCGACAATCTTGGCCTCTTCTTCGCTTCTTTAGAAATTTAGCAGCATATTCTTGGTCAGTGGATTTTGAAATACATTGTCTGACCACAGCAAATTTTCCTCTGAAAAAAAGAGGGAAAAATCAACTATGGTTTTTAAATCAAAGAGCCAGATACAGAGTAACTCCTCTAAGACCATCAAGCCTTTCAAACATCCATATCATTCAGGTATTTGCCATATCTTGGTTTCCAAAATAAGATCACATTTTTATCTACTGTTAAATAAACTCTGTGTTCTGTTACATCAAGGAAACTACAGCAGTTCATCAAACCAAGTCTTACAAAGTGGGTAATAATAATGAAACAAAATTATTTTCTTGCCTAAGAGACTGAGATGATTCATTGCTTTAAGATGGATATTAAAAGTTGGTCTCTGAAAGTGTAATAGATAAAAGTAAACTATGATTCTAAAGAATACAATGGATGAAACAAAACAAGACTGAAAAATCCATGGTGAACCTGTGTGATAGAGAAATAAAAATACTCTTTCAGTCAGATTGATTTTAAAGTTTAAAGTTAGTCAGGTATATTTGTAGCTCATATATATTATTATTATTACTTCTTTATACTATTACCAAGCATAAATGTGGTAGATGCCATTTACTAAAACAACTAAGAAACAAAAATCACAGCAAGGAGGTAAGGGTATTTTAAAGTCCTACTTTACAGCTATTTACATTTTCTCCAGTATTAGTATTTAAAAAAGTAAATTTACTATCCATATATATTATTAACTTATTTATATTCAGGGTTAAAGAGGTAAGTGTTTTGTGGCATTTTTCATTCAAATATTTTAAATGCCTTGTAAACACAAAAATTGAACTTGAAGATGTACTTCCATAAACACATAAAAAAGTCTCATTCTCATTTCTAATCATCAGAAAACAATTTCTCCTCCCCCAAAAAAGAAAACAATTCCTCCCATTAATATAGATCCTAGAAAAAAAAATGTGGCTTACTTGATCTTAGCAAATATTACTTCAATGAAAAGCAAAAACTGTGTTTAAAGCAAAAATTACAATTTGAATTTTAAAAAATTCTTGAAAATAGGCAAAAGTCAGACAGTCCCTACCTTCAAGGTCTCAACAACCCAGTGGGTGAAACAAGCTGATACGTACAATCAAGCTATGTACAAGATAAATAGGAATTAAGAAGATACTAGAACAAAGAGGGTTTTGGGGAAAGGCTTCCTGTAGATGATGAGATTTTAGTTGAAACTTTAAAAAAGGTAGGGAGAAATTAAGGTGACATATAAACAGAAGATATAAAAAAAAATCTATCTTAACAAAAGAATAACATTCTCATACATATGATACATAATGGCTAGCCAAGGTAATAAATATCCTAAAAAACATAAAGTATCCTTTCAAAAAAAAGTAATAATTTGTAATAACAATTATGACCTGAAGGCTGCATTGTAATGTCATGAATTACCAGTTTCTGGAAGGAAAAAAAACCCACAATTAACATTAGTAATGATGATGATGATGATGATGATGATGATATAGCTAACATTATATAGTACTTATAATGTGACAGACATTGTGCTAAGTGCTTTACAGTTATCATCTTATTTGATCCTCACAACAACCCTGGAAGGTAGCTGCTATTATTATCTCCATTTTACAGACTGGGAAAGCGAAGCAAACAGTGGAGTGACTCGCCCAGGGTCACACAGCTAATAATCTTCTGAGGCCAGAGTTGAACTCAGATCTTCCTGACCCCAAGCCTGGTGCTCTATCCACTGCACCACACAGCTGCCTCAAGCAAATTATAATTGGGCCAAGATTTTAATACTATTCAATTAAATAAACATTTGTTAAAGACCTACTATGTGAAATGTACTTGGGCACTAGGTAATTTAAGATCACTAACCAAAAATAAGACCTTTCCTCAAAACTTTCAAATTTTTATTTGCAGATATTTACAGTTGCATTTTATGGTAAGGATTTTTTAAAGGCAATACGGTGAGGTAGTTAGAAAATCTATCGTGGAATCAGGAAGACTTGGGTTCAAGTCCCATTTCTGACAACCAGGGCTATTTGACCCTAGGCAAGTCACTTAAACCCTCTTTACATCAGACAATTCTCAGAGACATATAAACTGCCAAGCTGCATCAGCATAAGGAGTTAGTGTCCTTACTGGGAGTGCCCCACACCATGAAATCACAGGCCTAGTCCCATCTCTACTTTATAAATCAGAAGCCTGGCACCAAAATTAAAATTTTCATTTACATGCTATTAAATTAGTTTATTTAAATTGCTCTTGTCAAAATGCCTGGTAATCTATTGCCAGGTAATTCATTTTCCTTCAACTCTGAAATGCTACTCACATTTTAAAAGTATAAATGGCACCCTGCTCCTAAAATATTCTATATTTAATTGCAAAATGGTGAAATAAGTAAAATGAATTATACATCTTCACTTGGCATCTAAAAGTCTTTTCTTAACAATAATTCTCAACTCAAGTACTCACTCAGCAGCTAAACTGCCTTGCAGTTAGTCTACTGCATTCTACAATACACAATAAAATTTGAAAGACAGAAAAAAAACCCACAAAGGAAGTTGACATTTATTTCTGAATCTGCCTCACCCTTCCAACCACAAGAAGTTCTATGAAAACTTGCTTCACTTAACAAAAAAAAAAAATAAAAAAAACTTAAACTTTACCCAACATATTCTAAAAAACAGGAACAACTCAAAGTTTCTTGAGAATATTCAAAACTTTACTAGTAACTTCTGTATGTTTCCCTTCTGTTTACTTAAGTTAATGTTTGGTTTTTTTTTCTGAAATACTTTATGGGAATGAAAAACAGCTGAATGGAAAGCTTTATCATGCATCACCTATTAAATCTGTATGTGCCTGCACTTTAAAATGTGCAAAAATACTAACTGCAACAAGATTCTGATTTCTATTTCCCAGGCCTATATGCCAATTGAATTTGATAAACAAATTCAAAGAATATTTTAAAAGTTCATGAAAGGAGAAGTATCAGCAGTTTCAATTCATCAGTGTTCAAAAAAAAATCAGTATTCATTTCATGAATTATTACCCTATCCTAATTGATAAGTTTTGTTTCTTTTTGTGGGAGGGGAAAATGTGTTAATACAACGGAGAGGTTAATCACTTTCCATCTCTTTACTAAACAGATACCTCAGAAATATTTAAGCTTATTTAAACTACACATTTATCTTAAACCAATGATTTTTCTATTTTAATGGTGCCTCATTTGTAAAAACAAAAACCAAACAAAAACACCTTTAATTAATGGTTCTGCTATACATTATTAAAGATTAAGTGCTCTGAATCTAACCTCACTTCATATGTTCCATTAGTTGTCAAAGATCCATTGACTCTACCTTGCAATATTATTCTCCTCTTTTCTATTTTTACAGATTATGACACAATGATCACATCTGTCAATATAATTTTCAGTACTTTATGATCAAGGACAGTTAGCTGCTTTCTTACCCTCTTCCTACTTATCTTGAGTTCAACTCCCTGTTAGTTATTTTATTCAACCATTTTCAAGCCAAAGATAATTTTCCTTAATGAGCAAACAGAAGCAAAAAAGAGCTAAGGAGTTTTCTACTTATCATTTGCTCTTATCATTGATCTTACGTAACATAAGTTGAAGTCTTCTCCTCCATTACAATTAACAAAAAAAAAAGGCAAAGAAAACCCCCAAAACAAACCCTAACATACTATTAAAAGCAATTCAACATTTGTTAACATACTTAGGAAAAGTAAAATACAAGAATATCATTCTTTCTGTTCCTTTTTTCAACTTAATACAACAAACTGGGTCTATTTCCTGGGATATCAGGTAAACAGTCTCCCTTATATGCCCTTGTCTGCACATTTTTATGACTAAAAGATGTAGTTTTGTTTTGGGATACATAACCTAGGTTCTTATAGGACTCCCTCCACAAGCATTATTATACAGGTAGACAAATAGTTAAGGCCATGACCTTAATCATTAAGAATACAGTTATCCCTTCCACATTGTGGGGGCTGGGGGTGCAGTGGCCCCTGAGATCTGGGAAATCCACATAAAATTGTTTTGGCCCTCCTTCCCTCTGTACCAGAGAAGAAGTCTGAATTATCATGGTATTAAAAGATAAAACATGTTGATACTATACAATACCATACATAGATTTTATGCATTTCTAAGTTTCTAAACTTTTTCTGTGTCATCTGCAAGCCTTCGCATCTCATCTGCAGCTTTGACAAAATTCCCCCAAAATTCCCATTTAATTTCTTATGCCGACCTGTGATATGTCGAAACTGTAATGGGGAAAATCGCAACGTGGAAGGAATAACTGTATTCCTCACAGTATGTCAGAAAAACAAATTCTGTAATTCACCACCAAAATAAATGTCCACAAGTGTTCTAAAAGGAATTTCCTTTAAAAAGGAAGGGAAAAACAAAACAAAACAAAAAAAAGAGTATAACTATAGAAATAACGGTTAAAAATAGAACCACCCCATGCCATCATTTTATTTAACTCAATGATACTAATCTCTGGTTCCCATTAAGCAGGTTCCTTACCTGCCCAGCTCTTTAGATGTGAGCATGTAAAAATTGTGAAAGTTTTCTGTCTTTATTGGAGTTTGGATAGATGTAGACAGCATGCCTGAGAGGCTCCGGCAATCAAATCTTCTTCTGGACATATTGAGTACAAACGTATTCTTCTCTAGTTGCTTATTTTCACCTGTTTAAAAAATACAGGACATACTAACTTAAATGTAATTAGAAAATATGATGCTATCTCACAGAGACAGGATATGAGTTACATTGTATAGTTCCAAATATAGCCATAACATATGACTAACAAAAAAAAAAATAAGATCGAATACCTTTTCAGCCTGCAGAGGATGTAGAAAAAATAATAAGTATGCCTGTAAACTCAATTAGCTTTATTCATTTTCAGAACATAGCTAAATAAAACACTTTAAAAACCCTTTATGCCCTGGAAAGTCCTTTTATTATATGTCTCCTACCTATCATTTAACCCAAGCCTCTTGTTTTACATATGAGGAAACTGAAGTGCAATAAGATAAAGTAAATTGTCCAAGGTCTCACAAGCATAATTGAGCTGGACCCAGGTCTTCTGAATCCAGACCCAGCACATTCTGCTATGCTACTAAATTTTCCTCTTTCAACTCAGAATAATGCTTGGACTCTAATTTAAACAAAATAACACTGAGCTTCATGCTTCAACCTGAGGAAAGATGGAAATGAAAATTAAATAGTATGAAGTTATTTTTTGTATATGCAACCATACACTGTATGCATTATATTTACTTATAGAACCTGCTACTTTTAAACTATGGAATTAACTTATGTGAGGAAAGGTGACAACATACTGAAATCTCTGCTATACTTCTCCCATCTAATCCCTTTTCTCTACTCTTAGTTCAGGCTCATCACTACCACCTAGATTACTACAACAGACTCTTAATAGGTTTCCCTGCCTCAAGCCTCTTCCACACGAGCCATTTACAACATGTCTCCAACACATCTTTCCAGCCTCATGGGTACCCTACTACTTCCTCCCCAAACTCTATGGTCTACATCAATCGGCCTTTGCTCTGTCCCTCACATGTCCCTCCATTTCATCTCTGCACTACTATGGGGGCCATCTCCAGTTATCCTTATCTGTGTCTTACCACTGGACCCAGGTGGCGCTGCAGAAGAAAGTGAGGCTGTCGACTTTGCACAGCCCTTCCTCACTTAAATTCAATCCACTTGCAAGTCATAGCTTTCCTGATGTCAAAGTCCTCTTCAAGAGCGAAGGACAAACAACAACAGCACTACTGTACTGGCTGCCCTTCGTCTCTCGGAATGTACTGTCTTCACTTCTACCTCATGGAGCCCCACACTTCATTCAAGATTCACTTCATGAACTGTCTTCTACAGAAAGTCTTCAACTGCCAGTGTCTTCTCTTCTTAACTAGCAAGGATGCATCTAGTATGTATTTCTTCTTTATATACTTATAAATGTGCATGTCTCCCCTTAGAGAATGCAAGCTCCTTAAAAACAAGAACTGTTTAATTTTTGGTCTTTGTATTCCCAGTGTCCATAGGGCACAGGGCCTTACATACAATAGGTGCTTAATAAATGCTTACTGACAGACTGGTTGATTATAGCATGGAACTTGGTCCAATGGTTATGTGTTAAATTTACTAAGTTTTTTTCATTTCTCAGAAATTACCACAACTCCTCAGGCTCCTCCTCTTCCTTTAGGGGGTCAGGGCTAAATATATCTGGCTCTCAAAATGTATGTAGTATGATGACAAATTATCTTGCAACTGCTATATCGGAAATGTATCTATGATAGTATGTGAATGGTGTCAATTCAGACTCATCTATAGCAGAATACTCTATTCATTATCACTGGGGACAGTATCAACTCCTGCCACAACACACAATAAGCCAGAGGAAAAGAAAACACAAACTGAACACAGCACATCTTGGGGTGCTTTCCGAGTTGGTCTGCATACTGGGAGAGAAAAAAGACAGGTTCATTCCTTCCAGAGTGGGAAGGCCTGCACCTGATTCTCAATCTGCAAACAACCAAATCTGCTTTGAAGGCAAGATTGTGGTCAGTCTATTACCTACAGATGGCAGTCACAGTCCTTTCTTCGAGTACCTTAGCCAAATACTAACCCCAAAGCTACTAAAGGAGATGCAAATATGCTGTAACTTATGAGGATCCATTACTGCTCTTGTTATTTTTGCCAGCTATTTTGCTAACAGAATTCTGTTCCTATAGGACTTTAAAGGTCTGAGGTTCAGAGAGACAAAGCATCCTGCCTATCAAAGTCATATCAAAGAAAATGAGAAGGTTGCTTTGATTTCAAATCCAGAATTCTTTCCTCTTCATATTTTATTTTGTTTTTTTTTTTAATTTCCATTATTCTTTCCACCTCATCATGCTGCCTCTCATAGCCTCAGGCAGAACAACAAGCATCATATATCCAGTCTGGCCACCACTGTTGCTTAAAATTTTAATTTTGGGCTCTCACCTTTCTCTCATGTCTAGCTAACGCTGTGTCATCATAAGCCTGTAAGACCTTTACTTTTTTTAAATTCAATTTCATTTTATTTTCAAGTCCTCATTCTCTCCCTCTTCCCCATTGAGAAAGAAAAACAAAACGTTCCAAACACAAAACAGTCAAGCAAAAGAAATTCTTACATTCACCATGTCAAAAAAAAAAAGATGCCTTAATCTACACATCGCCTCTCTGTCAGGAGGTGGGCAGCATGTTTCCTCCTGAGTCCTCTGGAATGGGGGGTTGGTCATTGTGTCTTTCAAAATTGTTTTCTTACAATATCGTTACTACAGTATCAATAGCTCTCCTGATTTTGCTAACTTTGCATCAGTTCAAACTTTTCGTAACAGTGATAGCACTAAGAACTAACTCTGGAAGACCCACAGCTGAGGCCACCTACACTTCCTTATTGATGTTGCCCATACACAGGAGGAGGGTAGATCTGGGCCTCCTTTTACTCATTTTAAGACAGGGTGTCTGCTAAGATTTTTCTCACTCTAGACACATCAATCACTTGGAGGGGGAAAAAAATTTAAAAACAGTCACTGGGCGTTATTTCTAGCTAAGATATGGATCTCCTGGAAACAGATATATGTTTTGTGGTCCAATAGGAAAGGGGCTTAGTGTTTAACTTCCTCTAAGTTGCCTTTATAGCTAGCAGTTCCCAATTAATCTCAATGTAAATGGATGCCAAGAAGCAACAGTTAGAACTGAATATGGAACAACTGATTGCTTTAAGACTGGAAAAGGAGAACAACAAGTCTGTATTATTGTCACCTTATTTATTTAATTCATATGCAGAGTAAATCATGCAAAATGCTAGGCTGCATGAATCAAAAGCCAGAATTAAGGTTGTCTGGAAAAACATCAACAATCTCAGATATGCAGATATCACTCTGATGGCAGAAACTGAAGAATTAAGAACTCATTTGATGAGGGTGAAAGAGGAGAGTGTAAGAGCTGGCTTGAAGCTTAACATCAAAAAAACCAGGCAACTGGTCCTATCACTTTCTGGCAAATAGAGGGAAAAGAAATGGAATCAGTGTCAGATTTTATATTCTTGGGCTCAAAGTTCACTGCAGATGGTGACTGTAACCATGAAATCAAAAGACACTTGCTCCTTGGAAAGAAAGCTGGTAAATTTGGATAGCATACTAAAATGCAGAGATATCACAGTCAAAGCTATGGTTCTTCCAATATCACTATATGGCTGTGAGAGCTGAATTATAAGGAAAGCTGAGCACCACACAACCGATGCTTTCAAACTGTAGTGCTAGAGAAGACTTTTAAAAGTCCCTTGGACAGTAAGGAGATCAAATCAGTCAATACTTAAAGAAATTAATTCAGGCTATTCACTGGAAGGTCAAACACTGAAGCTGAAACTTAAATGTTTTGGCCATACAATGAGAGGACAGGACTCATTAGAAAAGATCCTGCATGTGGGAAAAGACTGAAAGGAAAAGGAAAAGGGGGCTAGCAGAGGATTAGATGGACAGATAGCATCACGGAAACAACGAATATGAACTTGGACAGACTCCAAAAGATAGTGGAGGATAGAAGGGCCTGGTTTGCTATGGTCCATGAGGTCATGAAGAGTCAGACACGACTGAACTGAACAACAATAACAATTTCAAGTCACCAAAATCAGCTATTGGGAATAATAGCTTTTCACGTTTTGTTTTGTTGAGTATTTTTTTTTCTTTTTTTGGTGAGGCAATTGAGGTTAAGTGACTTGCCCAGGGTCACACAGCTAGTAAGTGTCAAGTGTCTGAGGCTGGATCCATCATCTTTTTCAAAAAACAGCACTGTCCCTATGTCACTCCAAAAGTTTCTATCCCTACAAAAAAAAGGGCATCCAGGGTTCAGGCACCACAGCAAGAGTATAACTACGAAGACCATCTCCTGTTTAACATCCGCCTTGTATAATAATGCCTTTCTTACCAATCATATGAAAGGTTTTGTCAGCCTGAGATATCATGAAATGTTCTCTGAGTCTGTATAAAAGTTCTCTGAGCCTAGAAAGTGTTGTCTGGGCTTTAATTCCTGTTGGTGGAACCCAGCAGTCTGGTCATGTCTGGTCCAGCCTGCAATGGTTAACTGGGGCAAATTAAAGACATATTTTTTTAGGATTTCCAGCATGAGTCATAGGGAACCCAAATAGAGAGGTGAATCCTTTTTAAACCTGCACAATGTTCTCCTGTCCAGGCTAAAAGAAAACTATATCATCCACAAGGTGATATACTCATTGAGCAGAGTCCCCCAAAACTCGTGAATCAGATGGTAGAAAGTGGCAGGTGCATCAGTTAAACAGAAGAGCTTAACCAAATGCTCATAATGCAGAGCAGTGTTCAAAAGCTCTTTCATTCATCCCTGGCTCTAATTCTAAGATGATATACCCTTTCATAGATTCAGGTGGTATAAATCCATGTTCTCTGAACTCCAGTCAAAATGTCCACAATCAATGGGAAAACAAAGCACCTATAAATAGGAAAACTAATTTAAATATTAGTAAACTGGTAGAGGGACACAATTCACTCCTCTTTTGGAGGTGGGGGTGAAGGTATGTGCTAACAACCAGAGAAACTAAACTCTTTTAACCTTTGCTTGGATGATTTCTCACTGTAAGGTGGTACAGTGGATATAGCGCTAGGTCTG